CCACCCCCCCCCACCCCCACCCCCTTAGGTTTGATAAGGTATTATATTAGCGTGTCCGTCTTGAATGTTCGTTGCAAATGAAACATATCAGCTTAAAAAAATTCTGGGGAGAACCCTGGTTATTAATATGTGTGTGGTTGGCATATAGTGGTATTCATATCTATCTTGTCACATTAAATAGCTTCACATTCAATAGTGGTTCATTCTCACAGCTCTTAACAGATTTTCATCAAAGTTTATACAAAAGTTAAGTAGGAAAATACCTTGGATGATTCTGTATTTCAGGGTCCCAGGGTCACTATTCAACCGTTGCTATTTTGTCAACAGATTTATTGTCATCAGTTTACCAATTTCATGGGAAAGGGAGCATTCATGTCTTTCAAATGTTTTCTATTTAAATAAAATTTTCATTTCTGCTTTCAGACGATTTGAAGTCACGCCTTCTTCAGTTTGATTCTCCCACAGAACTCATAGCTATTACCATCAAAACACTATCAAAGGTAAGCTCATCTCATATTACACAACCATCGCCAGTAAAATTACATGTCATTTGTTCCTTTGAGTAAAAACAACAAATAACAGTATAATCCAGTTTTAGGTAGATTTAATCTGCATGATGTAGATAAGATCAAGACAAAATGGGTTGAAATATTTGCATACATTACACATATTCTGGCAGGTTGTCTATTTGACACTGTTAAACTTTGACCTCAGAACTGCAAGATTATTTCTCTAAAACCAAGCATATCAGCATTTAGAACTGCCACTTATTATGCATTACCGAACTTACACCCCACAGCTGTGTCAGGCACAGGCCGAAGCTACCGGTGACAAGGCAGGACGCGAGGCCTGGTGTACTGACCTGTTAAGTGCCTGTGACAAGTACCTATCCCACGTCATACTAGAGGATCACTGTAAGTCATTGGCAATGAATTGGCATATAATTACATGAGAGATCTTCTTAATTTCAATTTTTTTTTTTTTTTGTGAAAGATTATTAAGAAGCATCATGCATGGGAAGAGATATATACTGTATATTGGGAAATTTTCACCCTTCGCCGGTAAAATCCATATTTTTCTAGTGTGAATTTCGCTCTTCACATATCATTACTATGTAAAGTATGTTGTTTATAAATATTCGCAGTTATGATAAATTCGCCCTCATTTCAGAGGGCAATAAAGGTGAAAATTGAACTTCGACAGAAATTTTCTGTTGTACAGTATTTGTGCTCTGTCATTTTTACTGGGAATGTACTTTAAGCACATTAAAAATATTATAGTTAAAATGAAACCTATTTTATTCTGTAATAAGCTCAGGGTATAGTGTATGACTTGACAATGAAATAGCATTTTTTGTCGGCATTTCAATGAACTGCAGTGGATATTGCTTTACCAGATAAATATACTGTAGTATATGTTATGATGATGGTATATTTCATATATCAGTTATGTATATAATTCTTATATATTTTACAAAAATAATGAAATTATTACAACTTGTATTAATCGCTATTTTTGGGCTGGATATAAGCACGTGGGGGTCTTAATATGGGATGAAACCAGAGTACCAGGGGGAAAAAACACGTGGTCAGGCAATTTTATGTTGTAAAGGAGATGTATCCCTTATACTTTTTTTACATGTGTTTTTGCAAATATGGTTTGTGCTATATTCCCTGTACCAGCTACATGTTGTACAGGTTAAGTGTACCTGTTCTGTACTCTACAGGTGGTGTAGAGGATGAGGATTTGGTGGTGCGACACCTGTTTACACTGGGAGAGGTCGTACAGATCTGTCCTGCCAGAGTGTCCAAGCGAATCTCACTCATTGTAGAAAGCTTCATTGCTGCACCCTGTATTTCATCAATGACGACCTCCTCACAGAACACCAATATCCATACAGGTAATTAGAGGGTCTCTTGTTTCCTTTAAATTGTTCATATGAAATAAAAATCAAAAGTGATTTTTATAAGGGGGAGGGGTGATGTCTGAACAAAATGAGTTTATTTATATAAGTGTATATTTGAAATTATTTCATTTCGTTCATAATGCATATAATGCAATTATATCTGAACATTTGTAAGTTTAATGAGTTTATCAATGTATACAAGTGGATGAAAAACAGTTTCATTTGCTCATGAAACATTTAAGCGTAATCATTGAACAACTCACGGCCATAGTAGTAATGATGATGTGTTTGTTATGTTAACTGCTGTTTAGGGGATCTGTGGCAAAGTAAAGAGTCAGAAAATAGTGGCAGCTCAAACCCAGACTCTGATGGTCTGCTGTCGACACAGCTGTCACAGGCGCCGTCCTCCCAACAGACAAACTCTCAGGATTTCAACACTCAGGCCTTCACCCAGGGTACCCAGATCTTTACACAGTTCCGCGGCTCAAAGATGTCCAACAGGATCCGAGCCTTTGCCTTTATCACATTAGGTACACATGTACTTGATATGTTAGTAGATTGATTGCATCAGATCTGTTTCTTTCTTAAGATTTGATTTCAGATGGCTTCACCATTGTTCTGATATATTTGAGGTGTTTTTTTACAGAAATTTTGAATGTTTCACATATAAATGCATCAGAGGGACAGTTGCAAGAGTACTGTATGTAATCAAGTATCCATATTCGTTATACATTTAAACTCCCATGTTTTTCTGTCATATGTGAATATCAGTTGTTTCATAATAAAAAAGTTTACTGCATATTATTATGATTGCAGGATCATATAGTTACTAGCAAATCATTCTTTTTAATACCATTTTTCATGTATTTTTGGAATGAATTATATTGTATATGGTAGATTTTCATGAAATGTATTGCATGTGTCACTGTGTTAAAAAGAACACTGGTTACTCTTTTTTCAAACCACCAAACACAGGAAATGAGGGGAAAAAACACACACAACAACAATGCCATGCCTACAAAGCGACACTGCTGTTAAAAATCTCTTGAGAGGTGACCAGTGTTATTGCTGATATATAATGTAATCTTTATCATTGTAGGCAAGCTCTGCCTCCAGAACCCAAACCTTGCCAAAAAGTGTGTGGCAGCGCTAGCTCGCGAACTCGAGACATCCACAGATCCGGCCATCCGTAACAATGTCGTCATCATCATGTGTGACCTCTGTGTCAGGTACTTACACTTAATTAGTAGGTCACATAAAAGCACATGATACTGATTTGGGGCTGAATGGGAAGTAACATGCTCACATATTTGTTTTTGCCTGAAAAGTCAAAGTTTTGTGCTTTTAAACTTTGTTTTCTAATAAAATGCAGATGAAAACAAGATCTCAAAAGCCAAACAAATTGATTGTTTTGATTCCACCTTTGGCTCCCAAAATAAGTTGGGTAGGTAAAATACTTTTGCAGTTATTTGTGATATTGTATTTGAAAACTCATGTAGACTGGTTATCCGGTGAATATTGATTTCTAAATATAGCCTATATGGAAATAGTGAGCTTATGCCATGCTGGTCACGTTTATAATAATTCACCTCGGTCAATATCACTCTTTCAGGTTCATATCACATCATATTCATCAGCACAAAAGTCCATAATTGTATATTATTTAATATCTAGAATTTTATTTTCTGATTTTTATATTAATGTACAATTACTTCTTGCAGATACACAACAACAGCTGATCACTACATTTCAAATATTGCTTCCTGTTTAAAAGACGAATCACCATTGGTCAGAAAACAGACATTGACCATCATCACTCGACTGCTACAGGTTTGTACCCTTGTTTGGTATCACCTGTTAAAATGGATCAGTCAGTTTAATATTAGTCTCGGTTGGCAGTGATATCTGAAGCTTTGGACAGTTGTCCCGGACCCTGGTAAGCCAGTAGACATGGGCTTGACGTCATGCATTACGAACAACTTGTATGGGAAATCTTAAATAAACAGGGTCTTCAAGTAGATTTTGTTTATTCTGGGGCAGTCTTTGCTGACAGTACATGTATCAGTTGTCAGCATCAAATTTATGTTAAATGTTTGTATGTGAAATAAAATAGAACAAAGAGCAATCTGAAAGAAACATACATTGCCTCTTAATTAAGATACATGTTCCTAAAACATGAAAGAAAGAAAGAAATCCTTTTAGCCATAGTTTAACCAAAGCAACGAGCCTTGTCAAAGATGATTTTACAACTATTGCATGGAAGTAATATTTCATCAATTTACCAATTACAGGAAGATTTTATGAAATGGAAGGGAACATTGTTCTTCCGGTTTATAACCACTTTGCTGGACGAATGTGATAAGATCACAGATTTTGGTAAGGACAGTTCTTCTCTACACATATGTGATTATAATGTTAATCTATTAAAAAAATCATTCACTTTCTTCAGCCTGCTCCCCGCAGTATACTGTAAACTACTCTGTCTTTGGGACTCATTTAGTAGATGTGTCGTTCATGTGACAAACATAGCATTATGACTGCACTTCACATATTGATCAGATGTGCCAGTTTTAGACAGATTTGAGACAAATTATGTAATATGCTTGGTATGAAATTACTGCTCTTTAGAATTAATTGGTCAAAGATTTTTTATGCGCAGTTGGTCTATACCATAAAGATATTTGTTATATTACCATTGTGCTGTGAACTTACCGGTGTGTATGCAGTTTTAACCTTTTACCATTCAGTTTCCTTTTGGTGTTTTGAGTTTTGTAAGTGTTCCTTATCATTAGCTATGACTTCACCATTGCTGGCTAGGCCATTAAGCAACTGCATGACATCAGCAGATTATATTGATTCCACGATTACTAATTCCATAGATAACCACCATCAGTATTGAAATAGAACCCTCTCAGTCATGAATACAAGTACTGACACAGGTGTAGTTTAGAAAATAACATACATGCAATAAAAATGGGGTTCAGAGTTTCACAGATACAACCATATTGCTGCCACAGTAATAGCGAAACAACACAAAAGCTGTCTAGTTTCTAATTGTAGAACCATAACTCTTGATAAACATCTGTTAACTAACATGCAGTTAAGTATTTGGTTACATTTCAATGATTCCTTTTGCTGTTGCATCTTATCAGTTATATTTTTAGGTCACCTGAGCTTTAGCTCAAGTGACCTATTGCTATCCGTTTTCGTCCGTCGTCGTCCGTCGTCCGTTAACATTTTACATTTCAATCTTAAAGTCAAGTTCTGCTGGGCCGATTGAACTGAAAGTTGGTAGGAATGATCGCCTCATGGTCCTGACAAAGTGTTGTTATTTTTCGGGTCGATCAGAAATCCAATATGGCCGCCACGGCCGCCATTTTGAAAAACTATTTCAAACTTAAAGTCAAGTTCTGCTAGGCCGATTGAACTGAAAGTTTGTAGGAATGATCGACTCATGGTCCTGACAAAGTGTTGTTATTTTTCGGGTCGATCAGAAATCCAATATGGCCGCCACGGCCGCCATTTTGAAAAACTATTTCAAACTTAAAGTCAAGTTCTGCTAGGCCGATTGAACTGAAACTTTGTAGGAATGATTGACTCATGGTCCTGACAAAGTGTTGTTATTTTTCGGGTCGATCAGAAATCCAATATGGCCACCACGGCTGCCATTTTGGAAAACTATTTCAAACTTAAAGTAAAGATCTACTTGGCCGATTGAACTGAAACTTTGTAGGAATGATCGAATCATGGTCCTGACAAAGTGTTGTTATTTTTCGGGTCAATCAGAAATACAATTTGGCTGCCATGGCCGCTATTTTGCTACTAAGTTCTAATAGGCCGATCTCACTTAAAATTGGTCTAGGAATGATCAGCTCATGGTCCTGACAAAGTTAAGTTAACATTATACTATTTTTTACTCAAATTGGTACATATTTCAACAACAAAAATAAATACTGTAGACTCAGGTGACCGTTTAGGCCCATGGGCCTCTTGTTTCTGATGAAATCTGTAGACTTAAAAGCCTGCACAGTCCACTGGTTTCGACCAATATGATACGCACTGATGTACAAGTAACAATTATTGCAAAGTTTGGAATATTGAGGGAGTGATGTTTTCTGACGCAACTCTGATTAGTATTCATCTGTTGTTCTGTTTTTATCGTGGTCCCTAATGTTTGAACATTACAGCGGAGTTCTGTCTTGTCCACACACTGTTCCAGAGGTACCCTTCCATGTTCTTCCATCATTTCATGGAGTGTATCTTCCACTTCAATGCCTACCAGGGACACGGAGGTTTGTTTTCTCTTTGATAAATAGTGTAGTACTTTTTGTTATTGAATAATTAAGGACTGTTAAAAATTTAACCGTAGAGGAGGAATGGGAAGTACTTTTTCAGAGACCCCACCACTCATAAAATTAATTTCAAAACACTTTGTCCATATACTGTAGACAATGCATTGAAAATGGGGAATGGAGTCTCCGAAATCTCGTCCAATATACCGGACAAAAGAGAAGGAAGTGTCTAAAATTGTATAGAGTGAACTGCACAACAGGGAAAAGAGTCTACGAAATCTTGTTCAATATTCCACGATAGTAAAAGGACTATGTATGGTTTGGACCTTTTTTGGCCCCCAAATCCATCAAAATTAAAAATGTTGAATATAACTTTCAAATGACTGTTTCTTTAATTTTGAATACTTCCCCGGTACTATTATGTAAACCTATATTTGTGTTTTCAAATATGGCTGCCATGGTAACCAGTTATTATATACATGTACATGAAATTTGAATATTCGGTCAATTTTGACAGGTTTTCGCCTAGTTTTTCTCTGGGCTACCATAGAGCGCACTCTTGAACAAACTTTATATTTCTCCTAAAAATGTATTACAGTTGCCTACACATTATCCTTTGATATTTAGTTTGTTCAAGCATGTGCTTTGAAGTTTCCAGGAAAAAAACTATGTAAAATAGGACAAAATTCACTGAATATTCAAATTTTTCTAATTTATGCAAATTTGAACTTGTTACCATGGCAACAATAATTAGAAATACAAATAAATATTTTCAGGATAGTGTTTGGGAAGTATTCAAAATGAAAGAAACAGTGATTTCAATGTTCATCTAAAGGTATTGAATTTTGATGCATTTGGGGGCCAAAACATGCCCCAACCATACATAGGCCTTTGGGGAAGGAAGTCTCCATAATCTTGTACATGTATAGTTTATAGGTGAATGGAAAGAAAAGGTCTTTAAAATCTTGTCTCATATTTATACTTTATTATAGTTTGAAAAGATTTATAAATGAAGTTGTTCGAAATTATAGAAATATGAAATAAATAATAAATGATGAATGGCTTTAGTTTATTTATTGATATCAATATATATCAACATTTGCACAAATGTTAAACATATTTCAGACAAATATTTTGTAATTTTTGAAGAAAATGAAACTCAGTTTTATACTAAATGTATGTTTTATTTTCACAGCTTACAATAAATTTCAACAAAGTGAGAGAGACCGAGCAAAGTTTTCACTTAGCGGCAAAGACAATTTCAGGTACATGTATTTAGTATAAACTTTATTTCTTTCACAACAATTATGAGACAAGTTGTTAGCCCAGATTTTAGCGCACGGGGTGCGGTCTTATTGTGGGAGGAAACCAGAGTACCTGGAGAGAACCCAAATGGTTGGGCAGGTGACCACGAACCTTTTCACGTCTGACTGGGGAATCGAACCCCGGCTGACATAGTGAAAGGCAAGTGTGCTATCCACTGAACCACCCGACCACCCGTGTATTAAGTAAAATGCTGATCTCTCTATAGTATGGAGATATGAAACATGTTTTTGTTTAAGTTTAATTATAGTGCCAGGATGCAACACGTCGGTCAACTTTTCAGCAAAATCAGCAAATCCTGGAATAGGTTAATGGTCAAAAAAATAATTATGGCTAGTGAAAGTGATAGACAAATATTACTGTTTTAAACCTAATACATGCTCCCGTCCCATAATATATGTATGGTTTGGTTGTTACATTCCGGTACAATAATTTACAAACTTGCTTGAAATGCAAACCCTCCATCATTGGATAGGATATGATTTCAAATCATTTCCCATGTAGGCTGAATGGTATTCCTGACAAAGAGTATCTTTAGTTAACCACTGCACACTGTTTTACAGGAAACGACAGAAGCTGTACCTCTTCATGTTGGAGCACATGACAGACCCTCACAGGTTCCAGTTGACCGCTAAGATTGTACAGGAGGTATGATACTGACACTGTTCTACTGCGAAGGAAAGAGTTTATATTCATCTAGATACCATAAATATTCCATACGTCTGAAGATTGTCACATCAAAGGCTGAAACATGTAGATGAGTAAAAATTGGGGAAACTATTGTTTGGCATCCTTTAGTCTTCATAAAAGAAATAATTTCTTCAAACAGTCTACTTTATTGACAATTTGAAAAAAATGTACTAAAATCAGATTTCAAACACCTGTTCCATTTCTTACTGCCATTGAATTCTCAACATCAGTTTGCTACTAATGTGACTAGCTACTTCAGAGTGAAATTATACCTGCAACAGTTGCTTAAAACATTTAAACAGCATCAGGTTTTTGGTGTAAATCTTGTGAAATATTAAAAGACAGAGACAATAGATCAAAATAAAGATAGATTGGGAGTGTAATGGCTTTTAGACAGACACAATAGATCAAAATAAAGATAGATTGAGAGTGTTATGGCTTTTACAAGTTTATGGCATATCTTGATGACAAAAATCTTCTCTTTTTTTTATCAGATTCTGGGAGGGGTAGTTGATGATATCATCCCCCTGAATGAGGATAGTGCCTGTCTTCTTCAGGATTCACTGGCTATACTGGCCAGTAAGGTAAGTAGTATCAAGATTGTGTGGCCGCTTGGCTAATGCCTTCAAAGGTTTGGCTGGAAAGGTAAGGTGTCTAAAGGTGCCAGAAGTGTATGTCTCGTGCGTAGGACTGAAGGTGTCTAAAGGTGCCAGAAGTGTATGTCTCGTGCGTTGGACTGAAGGTAACTAAAGGTGCCAGAAGTGTATGTCTCGTGAGTTGGACTGAAGGTGTCCAAAGGTGCCGGAAGTGTATGTCTCGTGCGTTGGACTGAAGGTGTCCAAAGGTGCCTTAAGTGTATGTCTCGTGCGTTGGACTGAAAGTAACTAAAGGTGCCAAAAGTGTATGTCTCGTGCGTAGGACTGAAGGTGTCCAAAGGTGCCAGAAGTGTATGTCTCATGCGTTGGACTGAAGGTGTCCAAAGGTGCCAGAAGTGTATGTCTCGTGCGTTGGACTGAAAGTAACTAAAGGTGCCAGAAGTGTATGTCTCGTGCGTAGGACTGAAGGTGTCCAAAGGTGCCAGAAGTGTATGTCTCGTGCGTTGGACTGAAGGTGTCCAAAGGTGCCAGAAGTGTATGTCTCCTGCGTAGGACTGAAGGTGTCGAAAGGTGCCAGAAATGTATGTCTCGTGCGTAGGACTGAAAGTAACTAAAGGTGCCAGAAGTGTATGTCTAGTGCGTAGGACTGAAAGTAACTAAAGGGGCCGGAAGTGTATGTCTCGTGCGTAGGACTGAAGGTGTCCACAGGTGCCAGAAGTGTATGTCTCGTGCGTAGGACCGAAAGTAACTAAAGGTGCCGGAAGTGTATGTCTCGTGCGTTGGACTGAAGGTAACTAAAGGTGCCAGAAGTGTATGTCTCGTGCGTAGGACTTAAGGTGCCAGAAGTGTATGTCTTGTGCGTTGGACAGTAAGGTATTGCATCTCAAGGCTACAGTTTTAGTACCGGTATCTTTATTTCGTACAGCCAGGCAAATACAACAAATCATGATAAAATTATTTGTTTTAGAGATGACAATTAGTTTTGATTCTTCTATTTAAAATGAATGTACAGGTTGAATATAATAATTTTTGTGAGACAATACTATTTTGGCAGTGACTATAATTGTTTTTTAAGCCCCTTGAATGAAATGACCAAGGGCTCATAGGTTTAACTTCTAAAGTGTACGAAGTACATGTGTGCACATATCTCAAATGGAAAAAGCTCAGTGTTGAAGCTAGCAAGGAATAGCAGGGTGAAGCGCCCTGTCTTAATTGTCCTAGCATGTATGACACCCTGCCCTTTTTATTGACGCCCTATATGGAAAATATGGAACAGGCTCATCAAGAAACATATATCGCCGTACTGAATTTTTTGTCGCTAAATCTGAAAAAGTGTCGCCATTTGGCGACTTGGCAATCGTTAATGCGAGCCATTTTTTTCCGTGACCTTACTGAGATGTTAAGGATAAGAATGGGGTATCCATGTCTTAGACACATTTTTATACGCCCGTCAAATTTGAAGGGGAGTATTGTGGTATGGTGTCGTCCGTCCGTCCAGCGTAAATATTTATTTGTCCGACAATCTCCTCCTACATTTTTCGACTGATCTCTTTGAAACTTGGTATACATTATAATCATGATATGAAGTTGTGTTTCCTTGAAAAGAATTTGATTCGATAATTTTTGCAAAAGTTATTGCCCTTTGTTTATTTCAGTATTTGATTTTTGTCCATTTCAGTATTTGATTTTTGTCCATAAATCTCCTCCTACATTTTACAACGGATCTCTTTGAAACTTAGTATACATTATAATCATGATATGAAGTTGTGTCTCCCTTAAAAGAATATTGATTTGACAATTTTTCCAGAAGTTATTGCCCTTTGTTCATTTTAGTATTTGATTTTTTGTCCAGAGATTTTCTCCTATATTTTTTGACGGATTTCTTTGAAACTTAGTACGCTAAATAATCATGATATTATGTTGTGTTTCCTCGAAAAGAATTTTGATTCGATAATTTTTGCAAAAGTTATTGCCCTTTGTTTATTTCAGTATTTGATTTTTGTCCATCAATCTCCTCCTACATTTTACAACGGATCTCTTTGAAACTTAGTATACATTATAATCATGATATGAAGTTGTGTCTCCCTTAAAAGAATATTGATTCGACAATTTTTCCAAAAGTTATTGCCCTTTGTTCATTTCAGTATTTGATTTTTTGTCCAGAGATTTTCTCCTATATTTTTTGACGGATTTCTTTGAAACTTAGTACGCTAAATAATCATGATATTATGTTGTGTTTCCTCGAAAAGAATTTTGATTCGATAATTTTTGCAAAAGTTATTGCCCTTTGTTTATTTCAGTATTTGATTTTTGTCCATCAATCTCCTCCTACATTTTACAACGTATCTCTTTGAAACTTAGTATACATTATAATCATGATATGAAGTTGTGTCTCCCTTAAAAGAATATTGATTTGACAATTTTTCCAAAAGTAATTGCCCTTTGTTCATTTTAGTATTTGATTTTTTGTCCAGAGATTTTCTCCTACATTTTTTATAGCATGTCAGCTAACCACTCTTAGAATGATGCAAATCTTATTTCAATGTAAAAAAGTATGTAACACTATATGGCATTTGACGGCCGTATATTGTTCCGCCCCGCGGTACTCTTGTTTAGTTTTTGTGCGTTTTTCTTTTTAAGGAAATCAAACTGTCATCACTGAAGGTTAGAAACTCTGAAGATGTTGTTGCTGACGAACAAGAAATGGCTGCTGTTGTCATGGCAACTGCTAAGAAGACCTTGATAACACAGGTATGTAAGAATAAAAATTAAAAATCATCTATCATTTGTTAAATTTGCATTGAATTAGAATAAAGGGTAAAACCTAAACATGCTACCTTTCTTTGGTTTTACAACAAACATATTTCTTTGACTTTTGTTTTCTTGACAGTTTCATTTCATTTCTGTTTTAATGCATTGCCATACCCCTTTATAATGACAATGTTTCACTATAAATTATTATGACAAGTTTAAGTGATTTGTGATTATTTTGCTATAAATGATGACGGCATAAAAGGTTTAACTGTGTAGTGATTATTTTGAAAAAATAAACTGAACACTTATTGTCAGAGCTGTTACTGTTTCTTTTGCAAATTAACATCCTCACAAATATGATTGAAGAATTATACCGAAAGATATATTTCTGAAAGATTTACTGATTTACAGTATTGCATCCATAATATTATTTCTTTTCTAGGTGTTGAAAAAAAATGTGATTGAAAACATTGTTCCTGTGGTCGTCTCGCTCAAACACATGGTAAGCTACATGTCACTCTGTGTCACTCTGGTCCCCCCTTTTCATGTATAACTACTGGAGGGATGCTGTTATTTTATGGAGGATTTTCGCTCTAATATGGATTTAGTTGGGACTATTGATCATTTATGGATTGATGCAAAATTATAAACTTCCACGAATAAATTCCTGGAAGAAAGCCACAAAACCTTGACACTATGAAATTTAATCATGTATGACAGTGTTGCAGTTAGAAACAACCATTTCAGAAGGTTTTCTCATTGTTGAGAATATCTCAACCAGTCCCACTTCAAATCAAATAAAAAGCCAGTCAAATATTTTCCACAAATGATACAGTAAGATTTCTGTTCTAAACACATCCGCACCAAATCTGTGTGTAAAATTTCAGTTTTGGATATTAGTCTTTTTGATATCCTGCTTGATTACATTTTACCTGAAGTTGTCCTTTAGCTGATCAATGTTTAAATAACTTGACATAGATTTATTAGTAGTTGTCCTCCTTGTCTGCAGCTTGAGCAGCACCGATCGCCTCTCCAGAAAGACCTACTCTCCTACCTCATGGAACTCATGAAGGACTTTAAGAATGAAGTTAAAGGTTGGTATCGCATCAGCAATGGTTCAATTCATGGTTTTCAAGTCTATAGTATTAGAAATATTATCTTTGAAAAGGTGAGTATAGGGCAAGCATAAGGTTCAATCTGTCCACAAATGTTTTGTTGACATTATCGCCAGGAATATCCAATCTAGTTGTATATACTTGTCAGAATATTAATGCTATGGTTCTAAACAGAATTATGGCCCTCCTCACACTTCTGTAACAGATTGCTTTGTAGTACTTGAATATCATCAATCTTTTCCTTTGATTTCAAACTTCTCTCTAGTTTTATGACCATAAAACAATTTTAAGACATACTTATTGTATGCTATCCACCAAAATGATGATATTGTATCAAAAGTTCCCCAGAGTAGTAGACATCAAGAGAATAGGAAGTATATTTGATCAACATTAAGTAACGCTGCCTTGTCAGCGATAAAAGATAAAAGTTTTTTTTTTAATCAGCTGAAGGACTTGTTTATGACTAATGATTGATGAAAAATTACAGAGATTTTGTCAGCGGACAAGCAGTTGGCCAGTGAGATAGAGTTTGACCTGAAGAAGTTTGAGGAGCAGCAGGAGGAGCAGGTCAGAAAGAGGCAGAACAAGAATACTGCCCCTAGTGTGCAGGTATGTATTTTAATACCATGATCGAGTATAGGAATAATAATATAATACCAGTATTACATGTTCTATGCCATCAGGAGCTTAATCTGACTCCTATATCTGGATGGAGCTTGATTAACTTATTTGCTAAGAAGAACTTGATAGACTTGTATGCTAGCAGGAGCTTGATTAAACTTGTATGCTTGCAAGAACTTGATTAAACTTGTATGCTAGCAAGAACTTGATTAAACTTGTATGCTAGTAAGAACTTGATCAGACTTGTATACTAGCAAGAGCTTGATTAAACTTGTATGTTAGTAAGAACTTGATTAAACTTGTATGCTTGTAAGAACTTGATATACTTGTATTCTAGCAGGAACTTGATAGACTTGTATTCTAGCAGGAACTTGATAGACTTGTATTCTAGCAGGAACTTAATAGACTTGTATGTTTGCAAGAACTTGATTAAACTTGTATGCTAGCAAGAACTTGATCAGACTTGTATACTAGCAGGAGCTTGATTAAACTTGTATACTAGCAAGAACTTGATTAAACTTGTATGCTAGCAGGAACTTGATTAAACGTGTATGCTAGCAAGAACTTGATTAAACTTGTATGCTAGTAAGAACTTGATCAGACTTGTTTACTAGCAGGAACTTGATTAAACTTGTATGCTAGCAAAAACTTGATAGACTTGTATACTAGCAGGAGCTTGATTAAACTTGTATGCTAGCAGGAGCTTGATTAAACTTTTATGCTAGCAGGAGCTTGATTCAACTTGTATGCTAGCAGGAGCTTGATTAAACGTGTATGCTAGCAAGAACTTGATTAAACTTGTATGCTAGTAAGAACTTGATCAGACTTGTATACTAGCAAGAACTTTATTAAACTTGTATGCTAGCAAGAACTTGATCAGAATTGTATACTAGCAGGAGCCTGATTTAACTTGTATGCTAGCAGGAGCTTGATTAAACTTGTATGCTTGCAGGAGCTTGATTAAACTTGTATGCTAGCAGGAGCTTGATTAAACGTGTATGCTAGTAAGAACTTGATCAGACTTGTATACTAGGGGGGTATCTCTTATTTTGTCTGGCTAGCAAGAACTTGATTAAACTTTTATGGTAGCAAGAACTTGATCAGACTTGTATACTAGCAGGAACTTGATTAAACGTGTATGCTAGCAAGAACTTGATTAAAATTGTATGCTAGTAAGAACTTGATCAGACTTGTATACTAGCAAGAACTTGATTAAACTTGTATGCTAGCAAGAACTTGATTAAACTTGTATGCTAGTAAGAACTTGATTAAACATTTATGCTAGCAGGAACTTGATTAAACTTGTATGCTATGATCAGAAGATTGATTGGCTAGCATGCAAGTCAGCCTTTTATTATTTTTTTTAGCTCACCTACTTAATTAATTAGAGGGTTAAATGTTTGAGATTCTTGAAAGAACTTTTTTTCCTTTTGGCCAAGTTAAGATGCATCATGGCCTGTGGTTTGCTGAAATAACACATAACACAATCCTGTCAGCTTCCTTACTATCCAGTTTGTTTCAATAAATAAATAACAGAGTTAAATAACAGGTGAACAATACAAGCCCTTTGGGCCTCTTTTCAAAATAACAGGATAATCCTGTGGCTACAAGAACTGACTCCTGTCTTATTAATTGTTACAATTACAGGCTACTCCTGTGGCAGCAAGACCAGGCTCCCCATCTAAAGGGGCCACTCCCTCAAGGGCTGCTCCAGGCTCCACCCCAGTTGCACCTCCAGAAGGGACTGTCTCTCCTCATCCCCAGACCCCAGGCGTGGCCAACCCCTCCACCCCCAGGGTAGGATCCCCTGGTCCGCAAACCACATCAGCACGGATGTCTCCCACCTTGTCACCCCCAGGATCTGTCCAGAGACCTGCTACAAACAGGTAAGAATTGATCAACTTTCTGTCATTTTGGTCACTGCAGTTGTTTCATTTGCAATTTTTCTGCAAGGACATACATGTCTTATAACTAAGGATTCATATTAAAACCATATTAAATCTCACAACAGAGTAACTTTGATGAAAGTTTGGATATTTCATAGCAATGCAGTCTTTCAAAAGCAGTTTTTCATCTCTCACACATGAAATTACATATAAAACAAGTTGAGGGATTTCCAAATAAGGAGTCTTCTAATAAATTACATACATGTCACTTGTTTTTGTACAGGAGACTTTTTAACTGTTATTAAAAATTTCAAAACCAAATTTATCTAGATTTTTTCTAGTGTACACCTTGGATGTAGTAGAGAGGTTTTTTAGGATGGGAAAAACTGTACAAAACAGTAACAACATAGCTATAAAATTGAACATACTGCTTCGTCAGTGTGTGTGTGTCAGTCCGTCCATAGTAAAAAGCATGTGTACAAGATGTTTTATGAACCCCTGAACACATTAGTTCTCACTATATCAGCATATAAACACCCTAATGTAGAGTTCTACACTCTATTAGATTTTGGTAGTCATTGATTAAGGTTAAAGGGTCAAAGGTTATGGTCAAAGATCACACTTTACTCCCTTTAAAGTGAAAAGCTTTTGTACATGATATCTCATGAAACCTTCAACAAATTCAGTTCATATTTACACCATCTTTGGTAACATTGAGTTCAACACCTGGCTAGTTTTTGGTGGTCATGATTCATCATTCAAGGTTAAAGGGTCAAAGGTCACAATTGAATTCTCCTTTTTTTGGGGGGGGGGGGGGGGGGGGGGGGGTATCTCTAAATCATTACACTTCTTTTTTTCCAAGAAAAGAAACCACTATTTCCCATTATACAGTACAGTATATATTAAGACATTCCTTCCTAGAGACATGTGCTTCACAATTTCAAATCAGTGCAATTCCATTTTTTCCTAGAAAAGAAACCTCTCTATCAACCATTGCTATAATGAATTCTGCTAGGAAAATGGCTCGGGTAATGAACCAACATCAGAGGAGTTTGTCGAGATCCCCAGCCAGGGGAACCAAGTCTCCAGCCAAGCACATGAAGTCCCCAGCCAGGGGTACGGCAAAAGACCAGGAAGATGGCCAGACCGACAGTAGAAGTCGCAGAGTTCAAATCATATGCCATCCATTGGAAGAGGAAGAGGATGATAGTCCGGAGGTCAGAATCTAGGTCTTTCATATCTGTCCGATCTCGGAATTCCAAGAACTTCATTCTCGATTTTGTATATCTACTCTGAACCCTTGATTTTCTCCTGACAGATTTATTGTCCCTGTATGTGCCACCATGCAAATGATACAAGTTGTCAAGTCAGGTTATGGAATCATGCATATCTGTGACGTCGGAGTAATGCTTTCATTGTGAATCACACTGCAGCATCAAGTATGATTGACCGACTTTGGTTTCTGAATAGCTCTCTGATAAAATGCCTCACCGTCTATCAGCTTTTAGGCTCGACCTGGTTGATGTCTAAAACAAATCAATCAGCCAACATCTATTATGTCGTGAGAAAATTCAATGGCGCAAAGTAGATATGTATGGTGAGAGTGTAACCCTTGAATTTCAATGATCTACTCTATAATGTGTAAATTTCACTTTTTTTTCTTCAGTTTTTGCAATGAAACTACAAGTGCAAATAAGTACACCGGATAAAAAAAGTTTTATAGAAATAGAGCTTGAAATAAAAACTAAGTTTCAAGTTTGGGTAGAGGGATGAGTGTACTGAAATCAGTTTGTCCATTGTCTGTATGTAGACGCAATCTTCTGGACAACTAGTTCCTTGGTTTCCATCCAAATTCTGTGTAGCTGGTTTTGACACAAATGTGTAGATTTCAGCATGGTACCGGTGCATATCATAACCAAACTAGTCCATTCAACTTCTAGAAATTATCATATCAGAATATTCCTTTGCTCTTTTTGGGTCTGAAAGACCCCATTCTCTTCCTAAAGTTAAGCAAAATATATTTGCTGTCTAATTTTTAATGAAACTTCCTAACTAAGTAATTTCATATAGATTTTGGACCCTGTTGGAAATAAGTGCGGAAAACTCTGGAAAGACATCTTTATCACTCTTTTACTGTTTAAAATCTCTCAGTGGTCAACTTTCACTCCGCTTGAATGGTAAGACAAATAGATCCTATCAATTTGTATCACAGGTGCCAGAGGAGAGAAATACGAGGCTGACTCCACGCTACCCTCCTAGAATGAACAGAGCTATCAGTACCCCATCAGGTATGTAAAGGCTTCAGGCTATACTGGCCCTGACTGTATACCAAGAAATGTTTGCCGTAGTTTAACTTTCACCTTTTTTGTCCTCCCCAAATAGAGTGAATTTATCATGACAGCGAATATGTACTAGTACACAACATACAATATATGGTAATTTCATGTGAATAGCGAAGTTTACACTAATAGGTAAATATGGATTTTATCGGCAAAGGCGAATATTTAACTGGGAGAAAATATCTTGATATACAGTTGTAATTACAGTCATGTCACATACAAAACACAACTAACCAAGAAATATCTAAACAAAATGGAAGTACATGTATTCAACTTTACTTTGACTGCAGTACATTGTAAATGACTTTTAAAAATATTTGGCTGATAAATATATAATTTGGCATACGAATATTAACTTTGGCGAACATTTTGGCACAAGAATTTTTAAAGCTGGTATATAAACCCTTAAGGCTATACCCTACCTTGCTATCAGTACCCCATTTGGTTTCCGCACATCACTTGCTTTAATTAGTTTTTATGAAACTTGGTATGTATGTACATTATACGAAGACAAGGGCTATATTCTAAGTTGAGCAAAATCTGTGCAGAATTAATTAGCATACTATGCTCTAATTTGTCGATTTCCAGACTATAGCTTCTTCAAAATAACTTACTGAAATATTGTTGATTTTGTTGGAAATTTGTATCCATGTACATTATACAAAGAATGAGGCTAAGCTCGAATTGAGAGCAAAACTCTGGTATAATTAATTAGCATACCATGCTCAGATTGGATGACGGATTCTGCACAATAACCTTGTCAAATATGACTTGATTCTGGTGAAACAAGTAATGTATCAAAAGGATTTTAAGCATGTGAGATTGGCATGGGACAGGCATATATTGTTCTGCCCTGCCCTGCCTAGCATATTTTCTTCATTCACTTTGATAATTTTTTTATGAATTGTTTGTAATTACGATCAGATACTCCTCCACAAGGTAAGACATGCACGCTAAGTTTCAGACATATTTAAGCATTAATGTCCTGTTGATTTCTGTGCTGAGATAAATCCTCCTCTGACTATAAGGAGCTAATTCAGGAGCTATATCGCAAGCTTTAGGGTCCACTTCTTGTTTCCTGTCTTTAACATTTTGTTCATCAGTAGATATTGATTATTCTAGTCGCTGATTTAGTACTGTTTTATGTTATTCTGACTTGGTAACACAACAAATCTTATGTTCATTTCAGAGGGATCAAGATTTTATATTGAAGAGTTTTATAGTACAGCCTCGCATGTTTATTATTTTGTCTACGGCTTAAAATTTTATTCTTGAATTAATTCCTTAGCAGTGCTATGTAAATATCAAATTTCAAATGTCTACAGATGTTTATACCTTATTAAAGCACACACAAAAATAGAGAAAACATCTGTGCTAACATTCTCTGTATATACACTAGCTTCAATAATCCAACTGCTCCTGAAAAGCACAGTTTATCCCCAGCAACACTGGCTAGATAGAGGGACAAACACGTGCAAATGGTGGCTTGATGAGCAAGGCTTAATCATATAACAACTCTAGAAAACTAACTTAATAAATAAGGGCTGTTCCAGAATTAAACGTGAGGGAGGGATGGGAGGCACTTTTGCGGAGACCTGACCACCAAATAAATCTTTTTGATAAAATGAATGGTAGGCAGACCTGGTTTTAACCTCACCACCCATAATATGATACAATAAAATAGCTGCTTCCCAACTTATTAGGTTGCATATTAGTATATGGCAGAGAATGATAATTTGGTACTTGACCGACCTACAAAATCAAAAGTAGCAATGTGAGTGCTGAACTAATTTGTGTAGGGTACAGTGTTACTGCAGTGTAAACTGTTCTTAAGACTGATCCAGAATAAAGTAAGATCCGCTGAAACTCTAACAGACAGGCTTTCTTCATACGACAGACTACTTTTTGCTAAAACATCATTTGGGTGTATTTATATGGTTTTACAAAGCAGGTAGTCTGTATCTATGAGATGGATGGTCTTTATAGACAGGTGATATTTAGGCAGTTGGTTTTCATGGAATGGCATGGTCTGTGCACACAGGTGACGGTTACAGACAGGTGGTCTGTAAATACAGGTGATGTTTAAAACAATTTCTTTAAACTGGCAGTCTTTATAACAAGGTGGTAATTATGTTAGGAGGTAACTATGGCAGATTGTCTTTAAAGCAGTCTTTAGAAGTGTATTTTTTTAAACCAGCAGTCGTTATTATAGACACAGTCTTTGTAGACAGGTTAAGTCTGTATAAAGGTTTGGTCTTGTTAAAAAGGTAACTATGGCAGAACGTCTTTGAAGACAAGTGGTGTTTTATAGGCAGGGCGGGTCTAGATCTAATAGACGGGCGGTATTTTGTCTGTATACCCAGGGACACCCTTTTTCTAATGAACTTGTATTTGAACCAAGTTCACTTTACTTTTGACCCCTAGCTGTAGGCTTTGTTGGTCAAACCAGTACAAAGGTCCACCATAGACATAACAATTCTCCTAGGGTACATTCGTGTTACCGGTTGAAACGGTTGAACCGGTTGAACCTGTAAAGAAAACGACAGGTACAGATCTGTACCGAGGCTGACCTCAGGAAAATTTGACATGTGTAGATTGAGGGGTCCAACCGTGCCTGACCGAAACTAAAATGCTGACTATTGCCAATTTGCGTTATTTCTTTCTAAAAAAATGTCAAGTCACATGTAGTTTTTAGGTCACCTGAGACAAAGTCTCAAGTGACCTATTGCGATCGCCTTTTGTCCGTCGTCGTCCGTCGTCCGTCGTCCGTCGTCGCTCTAGCGTCCTTCCATGGACAAAGGTCAACAAAAATAGTTGCCGGTTTAGTCCTAAGCCGCCCGGGGCCTGAGGGGCGGGGCCAAAAAGGGTCAAATTGACTAAAATTTCAAAAAATTTCTTCTCAAGACCAAGATATGGTAGCATCAAATACTCTTCATAGATGGAAGGGTCTTAAGGTGCTTTACCAAAATTGTGAATTTCATGACCCTGGGGTCTCACGTTTCCCCCTGGGGAGGGGGTAAACTTTACTATAGTTTATATAGGGAAATCACATTTTGGACCAATATTTGTTTAATTTCCATTGGAAGTAATTCAATTTGGGTTAGCATTATCAGTATTAGGTAGCAGTTTGATAGTATGCACCTATGAGCCCTGACTGACCCCCAGGGGCTGATGGGTGGGGCCAAAAAGGGTTGAATTGACTGAAATTTCAAAAATCTTCTTCTCAAGACCCAGATATGGTAGAATCAAATACTCTTCATAGATGGAAGGGTCTTAAGGTGCTTTACCGAAATTGTGAATTTCTTGACCCTGGGGTCTCACGTTTCCCCCTGGGGAGGGGGTAAACTTTACTATAGTTTATATAGGGAAATCACATTTTGGACCAACATTTGTTTAATTTCCATTGGAAGTAATTCAATTTGGGTTAGCATTATCAGTATTAGGTAGCAGTTTGATAGTATGCACCTATGAGCCCTGACTGACCCCCAGGGGCTGATGGGTGGGGCCAAAAAGGGTTGAATTGACTGAAATTTCAAAAATCTTCTTCTCAAGACCCAGATATGGTAGAATCAAATACTCTTCATAGATGGAAGGGTCTTAAGGTGCTTTACCGAAATTGTGAATTTCTTGACCCTGGGGTCTCACGTTTCCCCCTGGGGAGGGGGTAAACTTTACTATAGTTTATATAGGGAAATCACATTTTGGACCAACATTTGTTTAATTTCCATTGGAAGTAATTCAATTTGGGTTAGCATTATCAGTATTAGGTAGCAGTTTGATAGTATGCACCTATGAGCCCTGACTGACCCCCAGGGGCTGATGGGTGGGGCCAAAAAGGGTTGAATTGACTGAAATTTCAAAAATCTTCTTCTCAAGACCCAGATATGGTAGAATCAAATACTCTTCATAGATGGAAGGGTCTTAAGGTGCTTTACCGAAATTGTGAATTTCTTGACCCTGGGGTCTCACGTTTCCCCCTGGGGAGGGGGTAAACTTTACTATAGTTTATATAGGGAAATCACATTTTGGACCAACATTTGTTTAATTTCCATTGGAAGTAATTCAATTTGGGTTAGCATTATCAGTATTAGGTAGCAGTTTGATAATAAGCACATATCAGCCCTGACTGACCCCCAGGGGCTGATGGGTGGGGCCAAAAAGGGTTGAATTTACTGAAATTTCAAAAATCTTCTTCTCAAGACCCAGATATGGTAGAATCAAATACTCTTCATAGATGGAAGGGTCTTAAGGTTTATGACCCTAGGGTCTCACGTTTACCCCCTGGGGAAGGGGGGGGGGGGGCAAAATTTATTATGGTTTATAATGACAAATGATACTTTGAATATTACATGTTAATAACTTGATTGGAATTATAACCTTGAATTGACAGTTTGATACTTTGAAAATTTTGAGCCAGCCCTACCCCCAAGGGCTGTAGGTGCTAGTTTCAAATCCTTTTTAGTCTGAAATCTGTATGCTAGATATTGAGTAAGGTGGTTTTATTGTTTTTTGTCACTTTGAATAATATTTCTGTTCATGTTAAAAGCAAAATCAACTCTCTGTATAAATATATCAGGTGACCGTTAAGGCCCATGGGCCTCTTGTTAAGTTACGTTATGTAATTCAGTGGACGGATGAAAGAAGGTCATAATATTCTTGAAACACTGTTTTTTATTCTCCGAAACTGTGGATTTTTAGCTCTGCTTATAGAACGGTCCAAGTGTGTTCGTTAATCGTGGAAAATTAGAAATGTGTCCTTCCCCTGTGGATCCCTTTCACTACAGCTTTTAACTCGTTTCAGTGTGCCTGTTTAGATGATGCTGACTTTGATTTTTTATCCACTTGATCTCTATGTAAACATTATTAGAGGATCCCCGTACCACTGCCAAAAACTGTAACTGTGCATTAGAGACTTTTTTTCTGGCATGACTATTTATTTGATAAATCATTTCTGAAAAAAACCCCATACCTTGCAGTAGTTTTATGACAAAATAATAAAGATGAAATAAAGAAAATGTTTAAAACAACAGTGTTTTGCATGTAAAAAAAATCAGCAGGGCTAGACTGTGATTTGAATATCGGACTTAACATTGTTTTACTGTTGCTTAAGCTGATTGATCTACCTGGTCAACGGAAGTGTTCTGGTCCAACTGTGCTACAGTTATATCCAAACGAAAGTTACAGGAAGGTTACTGTGTATAGTAACAAAAACTGCAGAGCAGTATGACAGGGATCCTTAAAAGGACAACTATTATCCCCTTGCAACGAAAGTTCTGCGTTGAAGGTCAAGGTCACTGTTACTATTTTAAGAAAAACTTTGTCATCGCTCTAGCGACTTCATTACTTAACTTAATTTCATTAAACTTCACACAAGTGTTTGGTATGACAATACCTTAAACAAGTTCACATTTCGGGTAACTGCGTTGAAAGTCAAGGTCACTTTACTATTTTAAGAAAAACTTTGTCATCGCTCTAGCAACTTCATTACTTAACTTAATTTCATTAAACTTCACACAAGTGTTTGGTATGACAATACCTTAAACAAGTTCACATTTCGGGTAACTGCGTTGAAAGTCAAGGTCACTTTACTATTTTAAGAAAAACTTTGTCATCGCTCTAGCAACTTCATTACTTAACTTAATTTCATTAAACTTCACACAAGTGTTTGGTATGACAATACCTTAAACAAGTTCACATTTCGGGTAACTGCGTTGAAAGTCAAGGTCACTTTACTATTTTAAGAAAAACTTTGTCATCGCTCTAGCGACTTAATTACTTAACTTAATTTCATTAAACTTCACACAAGTGTTTGGTATGACAATACCTTGAACAAGTTCGCGTTGCGAGTTACTGCATTGAAGGTCAAGGTCACTGTTATTATTTTTAGAAAAACTTTGTCATCGCTCTAGCGACTGCATTCCTCAACAGAATTTCATGAAAATTGATACAAGTGTTTGGTATGACAATACCTTCAAGAGATGCAGTCGCTAGATCAGTTACTGTTACATCATTGACTTTTCTATTCCGTTCCTCATACATATGACACACAATATGTGAATGCGAGGGGATTTGTATCACTTGTGATGCCTTGTTATATTATTATAGTGCTGTCAAGTCAATTTCTTATTTAAAGAGTATTTAATGTACTGTACAAGCAAAAACAGGGTTTGATAGCAACAAACGTGGGGGGGTTACAGATGATCACATTCTTTCATATTATATTTTTGTAGTGTAATTACATATTTAATAATGGTTGATCATTCACTTGATAAGGTAATGACTTAAAATCCCTCTTTTTCACAGATAAACTGCTGAATTCCTAACAGAGTTGATTAAACATGATGATTATATTGTGATTATTTAGTTTGAAAACTATGGTAAGGTTAATTCAAAATTGAGTGAGGTATTTTTTTTATTTTTTCTCTCTCTAAAGGCTGCTGAGCCAAATAGCAAGGACACATATATTGTGCCATACAGGAGCAGAAAAAGGAAAGAAAAAGACAGTTTCCTCACAAAGTTGTGAGGTAATATTAGAGAACAGGGAATTATTTTACCTTACCGCTAAGTTTTTTTCTGTTGATATTCCCAGGTGTGCTGAACAACATTACATTCTATAATATGGAACAGAACATGACAATGATACCTCCATCACCGATCCCAACTTCCCTACCTATACGGGTCTATAGTGACGACGATACAGGTAGGTCTTTATATCCCAATTACTGATTCCAACCTCCTTATCTATACACAGGTCTACATAGACAATGATACAGGTAGATCTTTAGTAGTTTTTTTGCCACCTACTTGTACAGTTCTACAGTGATGAAGATATATGTCAGAAGTGTTCACTACGAGGGGTGTGTGTGTGTGTGTGTGTGTGTGTTACTCTTGACAGTTCATGTCGGTCCAAAATGTGACCTACTACATTATTTTTAAAAGGAGCATTTTGTTAGGATGTCTGCTGGTGAGCTTCACAAGCATTGATTGCACTTGTTTTTGTTTTCTGTAGTCACACCAATGACCCCACCCAAAGGTCGTGGTAAAGGGAAGGTGGCCGAGGATATAATCTTCATGTTTTCGCCAGACAAACCGTAAGTTTATATAAAGCAGTAATATGTTGGACCAATTGTACTGGATTAAAAATAACAGGCCATTTCTAATTCTGACATGGATTGGAAAATATTTTCTATTTTACCTGTTATGCAATGTATAACACTATCATATAAGTTTTTAATTAGATTTATCAGTTTGGAGCTAGACATATTAATGAAGTATTAAAAATTAGTAAGATTCAAAACATGAACAGAGATGAGAGGGGAGGGACACCAGTAAGTCATCTGTATGACCAAACACCGAAGGAAGTGGGAGAGGGGGCTTGATCTACGCCCAGTCAGCAACCTATTTCATATAGTGTATATACACTCTTTATTAGAAGGTGAAATGTCTCCTAGTCAAGCAAGTAATAATATTTACAATTTTGTCACATCATTGTACAGGTACACAATACAAATTGCTCAATTCATCATAGCTTGACAAATGAACTAGTCAGTCTTGAAATGTAAGACCCATATCTTAATTATAGTTGTATATTTTTATATTTAGTCTTCCAAAACCAAGGAAGTGGAATGTGCACTCTCCGGTAAGTATCAGCATAATAATAATGTATCCCCTTTTGTGTGCCAATTCGAGTGAAAAATTCTATAATATAGACTTTAGATCAAAGGTCAAATATCTGCAAAATGTTTAGTGAAATCTTGTCCAGGCTGTATATTCTACAGTGTTGGAAGATATTTTGGTGAAGTGTATCTGCATTACCCACAGAAAGTGCAGTTCACTGTATTTAGGTTTTAAACCCTGTTTTCCACTTTACGATCAAACGTCAAACAAGTGCAAGCAATTCGGTAATAATGCTGAAACTTTGAATTGTTCAAGCTACGTGTATATTGATGAAACCTTTAGGCAGTATATCTGCAGCATGCCCCCCCCCCCCCCCCCCCCCCCCCCCCNACACACACACACACACACACTGGAATCATACAGATTTGATCTTCATTTGAACAGCCAGTTATATGGTTAGCATATCTGTTAAACTGCAGTTATTTGTATTTACATACATGTACATTATACAAAGACTGAGGCTAAGTAATCAGCACATAACTAATTGGCATACTGTGCACTGGTTGGTCAATTTGCAAACTTAACTTTCCTCAATAAAACTTGCTGGGGCTTAGTTTTAAGTTGAACAAAATCTGTGCATAATTAATAAGTTTATAGTGCTCTGATTGGTTCTGCAGGAAAAAAAGTATGCCACTAGCACACATGCATGGAGGCATGTCCATAAATGCCCATGATTGTTTATACATATGTAGGATGTTGAACCCTATAAAAACAAACAAAACCATAACTTAGTCTGTTGAAACTTGCTAAAAAAATATATACAATGATGAAGGTTAAGCTTAAATGTGAGTAAAACCTGCACATAATTTATTAGCATACCGCTATCTCATTGGTCAACAGTTTCTGCACAAAAACTGAGTAAAACTATAATGATAGGATTCTGATGAGACTTTGTCAGTATTTACACTTTGTCAGATAGTGAAATCTGCCAGTAATTGATGAACAATGGAAATATCTTTGGTGACCATAGTGTAATTAGATGACTCGGTTATTGGTGAAAAGTGGCAATTTCAATTTCTATTTTCCTGGTTCGATATTTATACAAACGGAGACAATCATATGAAAGTCATCCTTTTAAAGGTCATAAAGGATATAGAAAATACATTTATTCATTCAGATTATGTTGATCAAGTTAAATATATTTTCTCTCATTTTACTTAATTCCAGTACAAACTTTTTTTTCTTTCACATTTTCATATATTAAGTTACAGTAATGCATCAGATCGATGTTTATCAGATTGGTTGGCATGGTTTGTTTTTAATTTTGTTTAATGTCCTATTAACAGCTAAGGTTATTAAGGGACGTGCCTTCATGTGTGTAGTGCATGCGTGCTTGCGTTTGTGTATGCAGGAGACAGGGTATGTTGGTGTGCTTGCCTCCTTGTGATAGCGCGGATCTAATGCCGACTTCATAGTGCCATCTCACTGAAATACCATACAAAAGGCACCCAGCACAGCATTCCGCCCAGTCACATTATATTGATAACAGGTGAACGAGTTTTTGCCATTCCCCTAAATGCTGAATGTTAAGCAGGGACAGGCGTATACAAATATGCATTTGGCTTATAAGAGAAGACATCTGCTTGTGCTCACAAAAACATATTTCGTGATTTTCTTTGATTTTTATCACATTTCATCGAAATGTTGCACTTCAGTATCGATGATAGTTGTATTTTCTTAGTAAAACCTGTGTGTCGATTCCACACTTCCAACTGTTTTGGCGTAATTGAATTCTTCATTTATGAATATTTGTTTATTTCTTCTAGGCACCAGTAGATTCACAAAGAAGTAGACTGTCCCAGGTTGAGGAAGGGAGCCAGGAAAATGCTCCAGAAGACAGTATCACCACTCTGAGAAAAGAAAAAACTACGGGTAAAAAGGGGCCTGCTACCAGGAAAAGTGGACGCCATAAAAAATCTGTTGCATCATGATCTGTTATAGATACACTAGCATTGTTTGTGATATTATTAAGCTTATTTTACAGCTGTGAATTTGATTATATTCTTATTTGCTTTGTCATCAATGGGCGATTTCGAAAACTCAAAGTATCATGGAAAAAAATGTCTTCAATATGAAAATAATATGGATTCCATGTTGGTTTAGTTGATCAAGTGGTAAAATCATTTGCACATCAATTGATGTTAAAGAAGAAAACTATAAATAACATCAGAAGCAATATGAGATATGTTAAACTGAGCCAACATGGTGTCCATTTAAAATGCCAAAAGATGATTTCACAATGAAATGTGAAAGAGTGCCAAATGTTCTGATATTTGAATTTTCTTGATCGGCAATTGACATTTGAAAATCAGCGTATAGTAAATGATTCATAATTAATTTAGGGGATGGTACGTTGTTTTGAGTGGCTATACTGGCGATTAGAACATGAAATTTGGTTTGAACTCGAGACCGACAGGAGTTTGCATTGTTGGGGTCCTAAAATCCTTACAGTATGCCACTGCAATAGTTAAACTCTTGAAGAAGAGTTTCAAATCAGGGCTGTTATTATGTCTCCCCTTCGAATGAAGGGAGACATATTGTATTAGAACTGGTTCTACTGGTTCTTCTAATTGCAACTTGTCTGTGCCATAACTTTTAAACCGTTAAAGATATCTTGATGAAACTTTAGGTGTGCATGCATCACCCACAGAAGGTCTCATGCCCCACTCTATACAGAGTTATGGCCCTTTTTTAATTTCAATACCGAAGTTTGACCGGAGCATAAGTTCCATGTTGTGTCACCTACATTGACCAAACTTACCATATTTATGTATCTTGGGAAGGCGGAATATCTCGCACTAAAATCGGGTCTTGTGCCCCTTTTTATACAGAGTAATGGCCCATTGTTTATTTTTTATATCAAAGTTTGTCCACAGCATAACTTCTAAACTGTTAAAGATATCGTAATTAAAATTAAAGCATACCTGCATCACCAACAGAAAGTGTGCAGTGCACTGGAATTAGGTCTCATGCCTTTTTATATACAGAGTTATGGCCCTTTGTTTATTTTTAATACGGAAGTTTGTCCACAGCATAACTTCCATGTTATTTTACATACATTTACCAAGATTGCTATAGTTATGTATCTCGGGAAGCAGGAGTGTTGCATTCTAAATTTGGGTCTCGTGCCCCATTGTTAATTTTCTATACCGAAGTTTGTCTATTGCCTAATAAGGGGAGACATATGTTTTTGTTCATTAAAACAAGTTTCTAGCTTTTTAGGTCACCTGAGACAAAGTCTCAAGTGACCTATTGCGATCGCCTTTTGTCCGTCGTCGTCCGTCGTGCGTCCATAAACAATTTACATTTTCGACTTCTTCTCCAAAACCCCTAAACCAATTTCAATGAAATTTTGAAGAAACCTTCCATGGCCAAAGGTCAACTAAAATTGTGAATTATATGGTCCCCAGCCCCCAGGGGGCCTGGGGGGCGGGGCCAAAAAGGGTAAAATTGACTAAAATTTCAAAAATCTTCTTCTCAAGATCAAGATATGGTAGAATCAAATACTCTTCATAGATAGAAGGGTCTTAAGGTG